AGTGAATTTACGTTGGGAGAAAAGAGCAGGAATCTTTAGGGGAAATGAGAAGGACCTAACACCAAGACACATGCACTCAGCAGTTCATTATACACTTATTCTCTTTCTTTTAATCTTCAGAAGCATCATCCTAGTCAGTACTAGCATGGTTTTATAGATTAGAAATGGAAAGCTCCAACTAAACTACAGAAAGGCTCTTGTTCAATTCAAGGCCTTTTCCTCTTTTTGTAATCTCTGCCCAGAATGTTCTGTCATTCTTCAAGGCCATCTCTTTTACCAGCTTCAGGTCTCACCTCAAATAGTTACCTCCTTCTGACCACCCAACCTAAGGAAGTGTACACCAATTACTACATCCTTATTTCCTTCATATAACACAAGATGATCTGTACTTGTGTTTAGAGAGAGGAACCATCTGACTTACTACTTCTGTCTGGAGTGCTTGGGAGAGAGGATGATGCTGGCTTAATGAATGAATGAATACACCTGCCTACAGTCATTCAACAAGTAAACAGCAGGGCTTAGAAATCAATCCAAGTAAGTCGGACTACAAGTTCCTGCACTGCCTACCATGACGTTTTTTTTAACAGGGAGCAGAGATGCTTTGGGCTGGAAAATTAAGAAGTATGCCTTGCTGCTTTTTTAATATTCATTCTCTTTAAGGAAATTACAGACATTCGCACACACACATACATATATACTGCATTCTACAAAATATTTAACCCAATTTTCAAGCAGTCTTATATTGCCTTTTAGAATTACAATACACTGTAAAAACACTGCATTTATGACCCTGCTTAACAATATGTAATGCTTCAAAACTCATGAGTAACTGGCATCTGTACCAAGTTATTTAAAGCTAAAAGAAAATTAAGTCACATACTCACAGGAGTGTAGTATTTTGTTCTTTTCTAAAGTTGTTTTGAGTTTCAGAATACATCTTGCAGAAAAACTTACAATACCAGCCCTAAGAGATCACTCTGAGAATGGTAACATGGCCCAGGCACTGTGTGGCGTCCGGTGTTAAGACCACGTTCGCCGCAGGTAAAAGTCACCCCGAGGCAAAACCCTAAGTGCAGCTAATACAGATCACTAGTGAAGTCCCCTTTGTTACCTACCACGGGGTTCATACTTACTGAGTCCGCCGTCCTCGGCCACTCCGGTCCCTCTCATTCCTAGGTACGTCAGTCCCAGGATTAGGAAAAACAGGCAGGCGGCAGTGAGGAGGAACATGGACAGGTAGTGCGCGCTGAAGCTGGCGGTGGGCGACACCTCCTCGCGTTTGAACTGCTGGAGCAGCTCCTCCTCGGGCTCGGCCAGCGAGGGCGCGCCGTACGCGCTTTTCAGGTAGGTGTGATTGGAGCCCGTGTGGTTGGCGTGATTGATCCTGAGTGAAGTGGGGGCGGCCGCGGGCGCGCTGGGGGGGATGCTGTTGGAATACACCCGAGGGGGATCCAGGCCGCCAGCGATGTGATTATTGGATTTCGGAAGGGAGCCTGTGGATGTGTCCAGGGCGGAGTCCAGATCGGGAAGCAGCGAGGACAGGAGCGGAGACAGCTTCTTGGTGCCCACGCGGTACCTGGGAAACGGGCTGGAGTCCCGCGGATCGCACCCGCCCCCGGGCTCGGCCGCCGCCTCCTCGAGGTCTCGGCTCCTGTCTAGACTGCCGGCGGCCGCCGCCCTGTCATTCATCGCCAGTCCGCCCCCTCCGTGAACCGAAGTCTCCTGCCGGCTGCCCGCCGACTTTGCAATCGGCGGACACATAGGCTTAACCGGGCTCCGTCTGGGCCGGTGCCGCGAAACCGGGTCGTCCTTTACAACCTGTCTGGCGACGGCAGCGGCCACGTCGTCACCCTCCTCTTCCTCCGAATCCGAATAGTTTTCCCGGGAGCTGTAGGGGAGAAGCCGATTGCCATTCACGGCGCGGCTCGCCCACGGCGGCTCCTCGGCCTCGGGGTCCCGGTCCTCGCGGTCCTCTCCGTCCTCGTCCCGTCCT